ACCGATATATTGAAAATTTTAACTTTTAACTGTATCATACCGATATATGATATCGACTTTTTTCCTAACTTATCTTGAACTACGAAATGTGTCAATATTTTTTTGTCACTATATGACACTTCCTTGAAATTTATCATCATAATTTATAAAACGGGCACAGAGACCAAATAGACTTTCGATATAATAATCAATATTTATTTTCTTGTTGAACTTTTTTACCACATCTGGATATTCCATACAGTCTCCTTTTTGTTGTGGTATATTTTTCCGCAGTTATCATAAATCTCTTTAGGTACTACTACAATGTAACTAAATCGTTCACTGGGTTTAGGAACTTTATATAGGTATTCATTAGCGGGTAAACCCTTCTTTATAAGCTGTCGATTTTCTAATACTTCACGAGAATACTTAGCCTCCATTCGCAAAACAAACCATTCTACAGAAATATTTCTCCACTTACCTTTCTGAATAAATTCATCATAATCTAACTTGGAAAGTTTTTCCATATTTTCCCAAAGAACTTTTTTAACAATCTGGTGTATTGTCTCCTCATTACTGACTTTCAAAGTTCTATTCATAATTTCCTTACCTACATCACGAAAGAGCTTAGATTGGCCTCTTTTCACAATATCTACCCTTTAATGAAAAGCTTACCCAGATTGAAATTTGGCTTCTTTTTATGCTTAAGACCATAGTATTTTTTCTTTCCTGTAAATATCACAGGAAATAAGACCTTCTCATATGCCATATTAAGGTAGGCGTTCCATTGTCTTTTTTAAGCTCAGTATTTACTTCATTACAAAGGTTTACCATCACTTTCATAGATATTTTTATCATTTCCTCCCAGTACTCTTCTTGTGAGAGTTGATCTAATTTATATTTTCGATCACATTCCTGAAAATACTCTTCTGGACATGTGAGATATAAAGAATCAGTGTCTCTATATTTAACACTGAACCCTTTGTCTTCAACAAAATTTCTAACAAATTTAATATTACGTTACCCAGCAGAAGTAACTCCACATGCTAACTGAAGTTGATAGAATAGAGAGAGATTATTACCTGCCTCACCATAAAATGTATTCATATATAATTTTACTGCCTTTTGTTTTGAGTCTAAGCAACTATATTCGAAACTTTTATAATCCAATTCATTAAGGGTTTCTTTCATCTTTTTTCATTTATTAAATAGATTTTCAACACTCTAGCATATAAACCCTTTTCTTTAGATATATTATTATGGTGAATAGACCAAGCTTCTATAGTTTGACCATTAAATAGAAACTTAATCATGTGAGTTTTTTTTTCACCTACGGATTACATTTATTGCTTCTTCGCAGGATAGTATGATTTTATCTGGTGAAAGGTTGTATGTCATTATAAGACTTGGGTATAGGGAGGCAAAATCTAAACCTATTACTAGACGTTTGTTTTCCAGACCTTTTATCAGTGTAATAACATAAGCTCCTGGATATTTACCAGATTCTGTATTTTCTGAAGCAATCATACTACACAACATATTACTGCTCCAAGCTTCAGCTCCCAAAAGATTACATATTTTCATACCTCTCGCAAAATAATGAGAATCAGAAAGAGACACATATGCAATGGATGATACTTTCCTATAATCATTAATTACATTATGCTTAACCATAAGCTCTTGGCATCACCGTGCATCTATAACACAATAATTTGCAACTTTACACATATTTTTAGCCGATGTATCAGAGGAGTGAAGTATTGCATCTTCATATATTTTGTTTATAGTAGTTATTGGCATATCCGCCTTGCTACCCAATCCACATTTTTCCAAATAATATTTCAGTGAACTTGCTTCTGATTTTAAGTAAAACTTTTTGAAATAAGCACAAACATCAATAGGTATACATCCTGGGATTTGAGATACTTTGAATAAAATTTTTCATCATCTATCTTTATCTCACTTCTTCGATATTTCCATTTATAATTTCTTCAATGTTGGATGAGTCGGGTAACATATAATTAAACATCCATTCAAGTATGCCTAAACTTTTAGCTTTCTCTATAACAAAAATCCAATCATACTGGAAATCATTAAAACCTATTTGTATATCGGGAGTTAAATTTTTCCAACATAATGCAAAGGCTTTCAATAAGTTGGTCTGATTTCTACGTACTATTGTAATCCATTTGGGATCTGGTTCCGTCTCTACATCAACTAAACATATTTGCAACAGTAGATTGGGATCATCTTTCTAATGAACTGTCATACAAATCATAAATACTTGATCCTCTTCATTTCTTGCATCAGGTAAATCCCCATTTTACGTCCATTATATGTTTCTATATCCCAGGTGAGAACAAGAGTTCTGTCATATGAGAGAACTTTGGAAATTATTAGATCATTTGATTTATTTTCTCCTAAAGGTCAATAATTATCTATAGATATATGAAAATAATAGGAATAATGTGGTAAATTCATGCTAGGATTATAATGGTATTACCCATCTGAAAAGAGGTAACTTTTTTTCACGGGCTATTTTTAGATAATAATAAATATTAGTGATATCATCAGGTGCTGTTTCAATACCATGCTTGCGAACTTCTTTTAAAATCCGCGTTCTATCATAATGATTCCATGTAGTAATACGAATATATATCTTTTTCTCGGTATGATAACCACGAATTGGATATGCATAGACAATATTTATTCCAAACTTTGATTTGTCAATTTTTTCTGCTCCTGATATAATTTTCACCAATCTTAATTTGAATGCAGATAAAGGTTCGTTATCAGACACAGCGATATCAAAGAAAGGTTTAATACCTGTAATATCTACTCTAGCTTTTTGCCCATTAATCAAAGTGCCATAAATACGTAAAATATATGTCGATACATTTTTTACATACTCAGTAGCATCATTCACATCGTTTGGCATAAAGTATATAGGTTGTTTATCAGATAAGCTTTGTTGAAGTATAGCTGTTAATCCATTATCACATTCCGAAATAATATCATTGTGAGTTGGAATTCCAGCTAAAGTTTTCTGCCTCCATATCGCTCGAGTTGTGCGCTTTGTTTACTCATTTTTGGTATTCTGTTTTTATATGCTATGAATGTATCAGTTAATAAAGTTATATTATCCCAATATATTTTCAAAAGTTTAAATTAATTTTTTCAGTCAGTACACGGTGATATCAAAAAATATGCATCGAGTTTTAGTAAGATGAATATGAGAATTGCAATCTCGATTAGTGAATACTTTGGGTATATAACTTCAGTAATACAGAGGGCCGTCAAAAGTTTCTGAACACTTTTTGGCTCATTAAAAAACTTAAAATTTTATAATATGAATAAAAAAAGTTTATTAATATCTTTATTAAAATAAGATATTAGCTAAGTTTTGTATTAAGTAATTAATACTTAGTTGGGCCTCCCTTTGCTTTAATTACAGCTTGAATTCGCTGTGGCATATTATCGACTAAATTTTCGATAGTTTGTATCAGAATTTTTTAACATGTTGTTCGAGTTCAGCAATATTGGAAGGCATTTTTTTCCTTCCTCGAATGCTTTTCTTAACATCTGCCCACAGGTTTTCAATCGGATTGAGGTTTGGACTTTAAGCCAGCTAAGAAAGTTTGCGCAAGCTATTTTCTATGTGAAATTTCTTCGCAACTTTCGATGTGTGTGGACGAGCGTTATCCTCCTAGAACCAACCATCACCATTTGGAAATACACGCCTCATGGTTCACATGACAAACCTCAAAAAGCATTCCAAAACATTCGACTTGGGCTATGCTTTACTGTTGCAGAAACACAAGAAATATTGTATTCTTCACTAGGTTCTCGCCAAATTCTACTGCACCGAGATTGTTGAAATTGAGAAAAAGTCGACTCGTCACTCCACAGAACTTTCGACCAATCGTCCTTTGTCCAACTTTGATGTTCTAAGCACCATGCAAGATGTGCCTCCATATTTACTGATGAGATTAGAGGCTTGCGTTGAGTAATACGATTATTTAATTCAACTGCACGAAGTACACAGCCAATAGTGCAAGTTGAAATAACTTGGCCAGTCTTTTTATTCCAGAATTGTTGAATTTCTGGAGTACATAAGCGACGGTTCTTTCCATTATTATTGGTTACAAATTTCTTAAGCTAGTTTTGTTGTAAAGGTCCAAGAAGGGATGGTCAGCCGGAGCGAGGCCTCGAATTAGTTGTTCCAGTGTCATCCATTCTTTTCAAAGTGTCAAATACTGTTGACACACTACATCTGACTGTCATGGCAATAGTTCGGTAACTATCACCACATTGACGGCAAAAAAATATAGCGCTGCGTTGTTCTTCAGTTAATTCTTTAGACATTATTTAGGTATTTTTAGGATTAAAGTTTATTTTGATTCAAAATCAAAATAAACAAACTGGACACGCATTTATTATGTTTGATTCATGTAAACAAGGTCCGAAACATCATATGACCGCAGTATTATTAAGTCACATGATGTTAACAGCATGAAATCACACCTAAAAAATAGTGTTCAGAGACTTTTGGCGGCCCTCTGTAAATTATGAGAGATGGCTACCCATTCCTGGAGTGTGTTTTCAAGTATGTTTTTATGACATTTATTTGATGATATATTTCGGGTATGTTTTTGAAGTAGCTAACTTCAGTAATATTATATATGAAAATTGAAGATGCCTACCTATTCCAATAGTATGTTTTTAGGACATGTGATCAAGTATGTTTGGATATATGTTGAGGTAAGTATCGGGATAGCTAACTTCGGTAATATATTATAATAATTATGGAAGATGGCTACCCTTTTCATAGTATGTAACCGGATATGTGATCATAGTAGATAACTTCAGTAATAATTTATAAGAAAAATGAAGATGGCTACCCGCATGATTAGATACATTTTCTTTTTTTATTGAATAAACATATATAACTCTAGCCTCACGCAATCCTAAAAATAAATATACGTGGTTACAATAGATGATATATACCATTAAGCTCACATATGTGGCCTGATGACCTACCGTTGTCATATGGTCTGGACGACAGAAATTGGTCAGTCGTTATGTGGTCTGACGACAAAAAATTAGCCACCGTTATCATATGGTCTGATGACAGAAATTGGCCACTATCGTTATGTGGCCTGACGATAAAAATTGTCTACTGTCATAAGCTACCCTTCTAATGATATGTTTTCAGATATATTCTGGGTATGCATTCAGGGTAGGTAACTGCGGTAATATATTATAAGAATTATGGCAGAAACCTACCCTTCTAATGATATGTTTTCAGATATATATTTGATTTTTTTTCTAAAGGATTAGTCACGGACGATGATATGCTTTCAGGTAGATAAGTGCAGTAATATATTATAAGAAATATGGCAGAAGAATACCCTTTTAATGATATGTTTTCGGGTATGTGATCGGGGTATGTTATCAAGGGTATTCAAGTGCGGTAATATATTATAAGAAAACTACGCTTTTTGATGATATAGTTCGGATATGTGATTGATGTATAGTATATGTGTAGTACTCTACATAATATATATGTGTGTCAGAGAACTAGCTCCGCTATAAGAAAAATGGCAGAACACTACACTTTTCAATATATGTAATCAGATATGTTTTCAGGATAGGTAACATACACTCGCCTTCTCACATATATAGTCAAAGCTAACCCATTTTTTCACAACTTACAATATACTTGATGGCAATTATGTATTATAGATCACATATATATTCAATAACATGTATATAGCATAATCAGATATAGCATTTGCGCAATTAATTTTTTCATTAAATAATCTGTGCCGTATATAAATAACAACAATGCAAGATTGCAAGAGCGTGCTAACTCAAACTGTTGATAAAATTATAACACAAAAGATTGAGGAAACAGACTGCAATATTAAGCCTATCAATAAACTCTTAATACAGGAGATTAGAAAGGGTTTCAAAGCTTATATAGAAAAGCTAGATAAATAATACGATTCTGAGTCAGATTTCGATTTTATATATATTCCTAAACCTACAGTTAAAAATCCTGTTGCTACTAATAATGTATAAATCGCAAGATATACTATTACTTTTTTTTGCTCATGTGAGCCAGCGACGGAAATCGACCACGACTAGACTACTAAACTGGCATACATTATGTCGCATATGGGTGACGACAAAAATTTACTACGATCGTCATATTTTTTATAGATCTTAGGATATCCAAGTGTGACGATGTGAATATAAATTTGTTGTCATATTTTTTATAGATCATGGATACCTAATTGTAATGACGAACTCGTGAACTAATCATCACTCGAATGATGATGTACATGTGATCTTATCGTCACATCTGAGTGGGAATAACCTAGACTAAGTGGAAATAACATAATTATGTTATTTCCACTCAGTTCCTGTATAGAAGCAATATGAGTATTTAAGCATATAACGTGACTCTTATGAAGAATCACGAAAAGACACATAACATAACGTAACATGATTTAAATGAGAGTTGAACATCATGTTCGATAAACACGTTTTAAAAGTACACAAAAGAGCAATTATTAATATGTTGCTTGTTTTATGATTTATTAAACGAACAATATTAAAGGTAAATCATCACAACTGTATTGCATGAATAGAAGTCGAATATTTCTTTATTAATATTTTACAATTATCAATAAGCATACATAATAAGAATGCAATAATCATAAGAATACAATATATAACATAGGATAAAAAAAACATCATAAGAACATTCAGCGTATCATGATTTCAATTAATACGCTCTTTTGAGAGAAATGAAAACTTTCTTAATTTATATTCAAAGTTGCATTCTAGCAAAAAAGATACACATCTTATCATCACAAATAACATAATATATACATTAAATCCATAAGTTTTCATTATTTCATCATTCCATAATAAATAAAATAATAAAATTTTCATCATTCAGAGATAAAGATTAAAATATATTTTACATTGGGGAAGCATAAATTCTAAATTCACACGATGAAGATAATCAGCTAGTCACATCAGGACATATAGGAAACTGACTATAAACGGAATGGTTATTTATACAGTTAATCTAAAGGTCAGCGATATGCAGGAGACTGACTATAAATGGAATGGTTATTTATACAGTTAATCTAAAGGTCAGCGATATGCAGGAGACTGACTATAAATGGAATGGTTATTTATACAGTCAATCTAAAGGTCAGCAATATGCAAGAGACTGACTATAAATGGAATGGTTATTTATACAGTCAATCTAAAGGTCAGCGATATACAGGTATTTTTTTATAATATAAGATGTTATCTAGCTATGAGTATAATGTTACCTAGTTACTATTTTTAGTGTTTTGTGGCCTTACTATTACTTTATTGCTATCTACTTGATTTCATTACTTTATAGCTTTTTTATTGCTTTGTAGATATTTGCTTAATTTTATTGCTCTGTTCTCTTTTTATTTCCTTCTAGCTATTTACTTATTTTTATTACTCTGTAGTCTTTTTGTGATCAAGATACTAGGCTGATATTTATTGCTAAATATCATGTTGTGATTGAGAAAAAATATGTATATTTGGTTAGGAGCTCCAGCTGAAATTTACGATTAGATTTATATGGTGTAGGAAACCTATACTCGACAATCACGTGATTATGTTTCAAATTTTCAGCACCAATTTTATATCACGTGATCTACAATCAACCAAATAAAAATGAGAATTTTTGTGTAACAAACTGGTTTTTTATTCATATGCGCATATACGCGTCTAATTCAAAAAAATTAAA